CCCTCTCTGTAACTTTTACTCGTCCACACATTCGTGAGAACACTCCACTAACGACCATTGTGTAAGAGTCCCACAGGATGTGTGCACCTTCCTTCTCAAGGTGCCTTCCCGTTTTTGTTTATCTTGGTTATCTTTCTTTTGGTTGTGTTTTCTTCTGTAGAAGCCAAACATTAATTGATCGATTAATTATATACATAAAATACAACACATAGAACATATAGATGTATACATATTTCTTGATCGTGCTGTTAATGCCTTCCTTGGGTTCTCTTATCCTTAGATTTTTCTAATTCTCATTTATCTTTTATGTGACTAAAACCTAAATTAATATTGATACACATGACCAGGGAAACACTTCCCTGTGATTTGCATTTCATTCTATTCATTCATTCTAGAATCCCAAACAGCTCATTCATTCTGGTGCCTCACACTACATTCTGTGATGTATGGGTCTTACTGACAGTTCCTTTGACTTAATTTTTGCAGATGGAGGACTTAACCCGTCACTATCTTCTTATGGTTTCAGATGGAATTTCTCTCTACTACCTTTTGCTTTTTTTTTTTAATTTTTTTAACGTTTATTTATTTTTTAGACAGAGAGAGAGCATGAACAGGGGAGGGTCAGAGAAAGAGGGAGACACAGAACCTGAAACAGGCTCCAGGCTCTGAGCTGTCAGCACAGAGCCCGACGTGGGGCTCGAACCCACAGACCGCAAGATCATGACCTGAGCCGAAGTCAGAGGCTTAACTGACTGAGCCACCCAGGCGCCCCCCGTTTGCTTTTTTTGAACGAAAATTTTTATGAGGCCTGATGTGGATCTGGACATAGTCAGGAAACTGAGAATAATCTCCTACTAACCTTCAGATTGTATTCTACATTTGTGCCAAATTTTCATATTCCATAAATATTGTGTCGGGTGGATCTGTGGTTTATGAAAATGGGCCAAAGAGAAACATGGAGCAAAGTCAGATGATTCTGAATCCAGTTCCAGTGTCAGACCAGCCTAGTGAGGCCTCATAATGTCAGCACAAAGAAACAGGTCAGAAACCAAGGCACCAGAAAACACACGTATTAAAAGGACATGGTGAAGGACTTCCGGGTTTAATGCTAACACGTAAAGGGCTTGGGAGATGCAATGGCCTTGATTACAACAAGAAAGAGCTGGACAGATTACAAACCAGTGGCTTCTCTTGGATCTATCAGAGAATTGAGGTGTCAAGGCAAACCATCACCCCCAAATCTGGACAGACACATCCAGAAAGCTGCAACCACCAGGATCTCCTCACCCAGAGCCAAAGTCCTGGAGCCGTAAACTGGTAGGAACACTTAAATGGTGAGCTGGACGAATGTAACTTCTATCTCAATGCAACATTCGGTGCATTTTCTAAGTGCATGTGGTTCAAATTGAGGGTTTTTTGCAAAACAAGTTGTTTCCTGCCCTTCCCATTTTCCCTCCATTGAAACAACACATTTCACTTCCACCGATGACTTTATCTCTACTTTTCTGAGGAGCATGCTTCCATCACTACTAGATCTTTTTTTTCAATTTTAGACGTTGTTTATTGATGCAGATGCCTTCCTTTCCACAAACTCACCTCACATGCATACATTTCCCACGAGCCCATCCTTCCAAAATATCTGTATTAATACGGGATTATTTCAATACTTGGTGTTCTGAATTTGTTCTGCACTTAACTCCTCATGTTTCTATTACCCTGTGGGATTTTCTCCCTAATATCCTTTGATGGCAAATAAAACTAATGATGGTGCAACACAGCGCTTTATCCCTTCAAACAACAGAATACAGTATGTCAAGGACACTGCACTCCCTGCAAAAGCAGAGAATCTGAAATTACACATAACACTGGGCCAAATGTTCTAATGACGGTGACCGACCTAACGTCATTCAAACGGGGACAACAGGCAATAAATGGAAATGATTCCAGACATTTATCACACACGTCCCCAGATTAGGTCTTTTATTACAACATCTTACAACACAGTTAGTGCTTTGAATCTGGAATACTATGTAATATGTAAACCAACCTTGAAGATTTGTAAAATTCCCTTAGAAAGCTTTGTGATGAAATCTAGAAGCCACCTTTCTGCATACAGGTCACTAGCAATAGAAAAGTTTTTAAAAAACACTGGTTTTTATCTTTCAGATAAATGTATAAGAGCCTAGAAACTTGGCGGAGAATAATTCCAGTGAAAAGACTAGTGGAAAAATATATTAATTTCTGCAAAAGCCTGAATGTGAAGGTCAACACTTTCTAGGCACCACATTCTACTAGTGGCCAAACTAATGTTGATAAATAATAGCGTTACAGGTTTGTGTCATTTTACACTATTGTGTAAAGTAGCTGAATACTGCACTCACAGTTTTAGTGCCTCGACCTGAACTTTATAAACATCGACCTGTACAATACCTCCAATCTTGCTGAAATCTCACACAAGCAGCAGAGAATATATAGCACATTATTATAAGTCCAGGAGAAGCATTTTGATTACAGCAATTTCTAATTACAGTGTGGTCTCTACAAATTACTATAATATAACTGTAGGTGTTATTTAACATAGTTCTATATAAACCAATATCACTTGAATGTTTACAGTGAAAGTAAACTTATTGACATTATTTTTATCTTTCTTTGTCTTGTAAACTGATAACCAATGTATTTTAAAGTTATATATATATTTTAGTAATAAATGGAATTACTTAAAATATCCTATAAATTTGATATTTAATAACTAAAGAATGTAGCTTCATCCATTGTCTTCCATCCATAAGCATAATTACAAGCTAATGAAATTTCAATGCTATTTTCTCAGTGTGCATAAAGTCTTTTAAATAATGTCTCAAGGTCTCTCTGATGATAATATAATCAATACCTAGTCATTGTAAGTTAATGGCATGCATTCTTTCCCTGACCAAACTGTTTACTCTAATGACATTTAACAAACTTACCTACCTCGTCATCACACAGCACTTCCCTTTAATCAGTTTCTTTCATGTAAATGTTCAAATAATGGCATTCAAAGGAAACACAGATTTTTCTGTAACGTATTACATATCATAAATTATATATGTAAAAAAGAATCTTAGGAAGCATCTTCCTTCCTAAGTAGCACCTTTCAAAAAAGATTTAAAACAATTTAATTCAATTCTGACCTTTTATTCTGCGGATCTGTTTTGATCTGTTTCCTTAGTGACAACTGTAATAGTAGGTACAACAGATTAGGGGGAAATACACACACACACACACACACACACACACACACATACACATACACACACAATATATATACATTGTGTACACACACACACACACGCACAATATACTATATATATACCATGTAGTATATGTATAGTAGGTATAGTTATATATTTATTACATAGAGTTACAAAACTCTAGCAAATTAGGAATACTATTAAACAGACAACCATGAAAGTGCTTTGCTAATAAGTAAAGATGTCCAGAGAAAGAAAATCAGTGAGTAGAATTTCATGGGCATGAACAGCTAAGAGTGTAACAGGACCAGCAGGGGGTTCAGAGAAATTCCAGGAGGACTTAGAAGGGCTCCAAGTCCCTGAAAGATCCCGAGCTCTGCAGAGGAAGAATACAGGAAGAAGAAGGGCAGAATATATAGTCCTCATATATATTTTGAGTGACAGATTAAGGAGAAAGTAAAGCATCCATGGGAAAACAGGTTGCAAATGTTCTAGAAGCCCTACTACAAAAGTCTTCCATGAGTGAAACCACCAGGACGGCTGTCTCTGGCTGAACTGTGCACCTAACACCCCCGTGATCATTTTCTCTGTTAAAGTGGGATTCACATTTCCATTCACATTTCATATTGCAATGGTAGAAATGTTTTACTTTTCACTCATATCTGTCATTGAGAATTTGGTCATCAGAATCTTCCAGAAAGTCATTTTGATTGTCTTTGACTTTTAGGAAAAAGAAATCGTTTATCTTTTAAATGATGCTAAGTTTGCTTCACCATGCAAACTGACAAATTCAGCCATGGAAACTTTTATAAATCTGATATAGTTAACAAAATAGTAGAATTGTTTCCTTGTAAACTACCTTCCGACTGTGTTATATATTTCTGGAAATACCTCATGAATCTAGATATAAAGATCTTTAAGCAAACAAAATAAAAATAACAGCTAAATACATGGATGTAAGTACAATTGAGAAGCAGTCATTTTTACTTCTTCCCTTCTGAAACAGGTAGAGCACTCAATTTCTGTAATTCACAGAGTTATTGCACTATCTAGCATGCATAGGAGTTAAGCTATAATCATAAAACACCGACTGACTTGCTTAAAACTGTAAATTACAGTTTAGAATCTCCCTAGATAACAGAGAGAGTTTGGTTTGGGTTCACTTAAAATTATCACAAGAAAGTCTACAACTTTGATCCTTCGATGCAGTTTTTGTGATGAATTTTTTAGAGATGAGTAATAAATACATTTGAGACATGAATGATCGGTGTCTTTGGTAACGACCATTGTGCTTTCAAGGTGGCCATGATCATTATTTAGTTTCATAAATACTTTTCATTGTTGGCCTCCGCCTAGAATTTGGACAATGGCATAAGACCACTAATGGCTCTGTAGTGACATCACTAGGGTTGTCTTTGGCCAAACTATGAAGCAAGACAAGTTTCTGTCTGTATGTTTCCATTCTTTGTTCCCTGTTCCTCCTTCCTTATAGCGCTCTAGTATTTCTTCCCCCCACATTTCTACCCTACAACCCAAACCACACTCAGCTAACATTCTTTTTCTCATATTCAGATTTCACATACTTATTTAAACAAATCAATCATGCCTAGATGCCTGACTCTTCTGAGAGGATATACATATTAAAAATAATTCTTGGGGCACCTGGGTGGCTCTGGTCATGATCTCACATCCTGTGAGTTTGAGCCCCGCATGGGGCTCTGTTCTGACAGCTCAGAGCCTGGAGGCTGCTTCAGATTCTGTGCCTCCCTCTCTCTGCCCCTCCCCTCACCTCTCAAAAATAAGTGGACATTTAAAAAAATTTTTTTTAAATAATTCTCAACAGTGGAAAAATTCAAAAACATTAAGTTACTATTGGACTTTCTGCTACACTTGCTCTTAAAGCTAGGCCAGGGAGAGGGGCAAGAATTCTATGCAGGATCAGAGATTACTTTATTTGATAATACAAAGGGAAGAGATTTCCCTGTCACATTTATCTTCCTCTTGAACATTCATTTGTTCTGCTACCAAGTACTCCTCTGAACTCTGCTGATATAGCAGATTTTAAAGTGAGGAGAGGGAGAGCTAACTCACACCCATCCACATATTCTCTTTTTAGTTGGTTAACAAGAGATGTCTCAGAACGGCACTGCTGTTCACATTTGTTGGTAACCAGTTCAGCTTCCGGGCCCCGTCTCCCTCGTCTAATGATACTCTGAATTTCCCACTAATGTGCTTTGGCCTCACTCCTGGGTCTAGAGGTGAACCCTTGACTTAAACCCTTGATTCCATCTTTTTTGGCCATGTTGCCTGTTTAATGCTGCACAAATAACCAAATCTGTTTGCTCTATCAGAGAAGTAACCTCTCCACCAGGCAGAAACAAGGATTGTGAATTGCCAAGGGTTTTTAGAAACACAAGGGAAATGCCTGAATAAGAGGCTAACACCAATAAAGTGGATCCAATACCACAAAAGGGAATCCAGAAGCAGGTGTATGCCCATACTTAATTCTAGACAAGACATTTAAACCTTTGTGAATAACCCTTGCCTGAAGCTTCATCTCCCCTGGATGGTTCCATTACATGATTCAGTAAATTTCCCTTCATGTCTAAACTAATTAGAGTCAGGTTTTCTGAAACATTTCTGTTAAGAATGTTCTCTAGGTAATAAAGTATCTTTCATATCAAATTAAATAAATGTAGCTAACTGGTATCCTGGATAGGCACTGAGTAGTGGGAAGAAATTATATTAAGATCCATGTACGTAACAGTCACCATAAGTTTTGCTCAGATCCAGGAAAAAGCTTAGATTCTAGTCTTCGGTCTGTGAGAGAAGGCTGGGTAGTTGACATAAATATCTTCTCTTGCACAATCCGATGACTGATTGGTAGAGATGGGATTTCTGTAGTTGTTGGTTGCCTAGAAAGACAGACAGAATGTCAATGATTCACTGCATTTCAGCAGCTGACAAAGATACCCAAAACAAATCTCTTAAATCAACCACAATTTAAGTCAAATATCTATTATGATTAACTTCATAAAGCAGTCTCTTCCTTGTACTGAACTTCTATGAGAAATCACATTCTTGACCTGCATGGCTCAGCGTGAAAGGCAACAGGAGACTAATCTAGATCATCATTTGCTATATTTTATAGATTATGAAATACCCGTTTAGACTTAGAGCTCTCTCTCAGTGTCCTAGGCTGTTTTGATAAGAACAATTATTCTCATTTTTATATGGAAATCTAATATAGCATCTCCCATAGCGGACACTCAATAATTTCTGTTGAATCAACGCTTTAATAAACAATACTTTTAAAGTACACAGTGTCATGTCTTGAAAATAAGCAACTAAACGCAATAAAAGAAATTAACAAAATAAAGTGGCATTACTTCCAAAATGATGTTATATAATCATTAATATTCTCTACCCTAATCGAGTCACTTTGACTTGGCAGAAAATATGTAGGCATGGGTAAGAGAGAAATTGAGAGAAAGAGAAGGAAGAGAAGAGCGAGAGGTCTTTTGGTGAGAAGTTTGGAAATTGAGACTGGTTCCAACGGGTGCAAGGAGAAAGCAGAGGGTATGTTGCAGTGCGATTGCTCCTTACATAGCGTGCCTACAGGCCCAAAACAATCAGGCAGGTCTAGCTTCTTCCTCTATCACAATCCAACTTATTATCTAACTTCCTAACCATCGTTCAAAATATCATTACTCTACAGAAGTCTGAACAAGTTGAACACTTAATGCAGGAAGCTGCAAAGCTCTTTCACTCCTCTGAAATTCACAGCAATAAATTTGGCTTTAGGTTGGCTTGAGTGGACACCAGCTAAGGACAAAGGAGGGATTCCTGCAATTGTGTATGACAGAGCACTATTTAATTGCTTGCTAGAGTGGCAGATGACACAAGACAGGACTTCCTCAGTCTTTCCACTTAGTGTCAAAAAGGCGGCCATGAATTATCCAGAAACATTTTTTTGTTGTGCAGAGAGTAACTAAGAGGAAAATTTCAACCAATAGATAAATAGGTAACAAAGAAATCTGAAGCACACATATTAGATTGTCAGAAACTTTTCATTACTTGATGTTTTGGCCATGTAGAATTCAATGGCAAATAATTAAATTAAAGAGAAAGGGATGTAATTTCAGATAACACTTGGAGAAATGTTTTAGTGTAAAATTTTGTAAGCAGAATAATATATGTTAAAGAGAATATCTGACAAATAGTGGAGACAATGAACATGAAAATAAGCATCCCTTTTATCTGTAGGGGAAGGTGGAGTGAAAATTCTGCAGCCTGTCAGAAATCTGAGCATCCTTCAGTTAATAAATCAATAAAAACCATAATAATGATAATGAAAACCATAGCACTGCATCTTTCTAATGTACTTCCTCCGCCTCAGGTCTTTTACGTGGTATAATGTAATCCTCACAATAACCTTACGATATAAAAATAGTATTATGCCCTATGCTAGGTCAGATGGTATCCCCCCAAAGTTTATGCCCTTCCCAGACCTTCATAAATGTGACCTTATTTGGAAGTAGGGTTGTGGAGGGTGTGATTAGTTAAGACAAAGTCATACTGAAGTAAGCTGGGCCCTTAGTCCAATACCACCGATGTCCTTATAAAAAGGGAAGACAGATACACATGTGCATGCACATGCACTGAAGAATATCATGTGAAGACAGAAGCAGAGATTGAAGTGATGAGTCCATAAACCAAGGAATGCCGAGGGCTGCCAACAACCACCAGAAACCAGGAGAGAAGTGTGGAACAGACTCTCATCCCCAGAGGGAACAGATCCTGCAGAGACCTCGATTTTGGACTTCAAACCCCCAAACCGCAAGAGAATAGATTTCTGTTGGTTAAGTAGCCTCCTCTGGGATAATTATGCTGTGGCAGCCTTAGGAAACTAATAGCAGATATTGGTAATGCACAGTGTTGATTCTTATGATATCGCTATGATTGTACCTTTATTTGTACTGATATAAAACAAACTGTTTCAAAGGGCATTAATAATAGGAAAATAGGTCAGAAAACAAGTGTCTCTTCAAAGGGATGATACTGGAATTACAGGCAAGTCCATGGCCAGGGTACTGAAAGCACAACAAGGTTGTTGACTGCAAAACGGACTGACTCTACAGGACATTTACAATGCGCAAAAGCAGGGAAAATGACAGTTCTGAGAAAACTTACCTTGTTCTGTGCATCCTTATTTCTGTGCTCTTTAAACAGTCCTCTGTTCTGTCTCCTTCTCCTGAAAATGCATATTCAATCGAAGCATTGACATATTATACTCCAACACAAGTATTATTGCATACAGTAGAGTATTATACCTTGCCTGTAGCCCAGCCCACATGCCCTTATTAATATGTTGAAGCAGCATCTATGGTTGGTTTACACATACCTACTCAAAATTTTCTTGACCCAGTTTTTCATTTTTTATCTTCCACAGATGGTGAAGGCATCTAAATGGATATCCAGCCAGTATGCATTAGTAATTAATCTCACTGAGCTTACTAAAGAATGGTTCATAGGGAATTCTTACATAAATAGCTCACTGACTTCTCCAAATAATCCTGGGCTTAGAGATTTCCCACAATTAAAAACTTTATTTTAAATGCCAACAGTGTAACTTCTCAGATGCCAGGGATAATCGAGTTAAGCTTTATAGAAACTTCCAGGTGTTTTACTAAGCCTCCTCTATGGATTATTTTATTTAGCTTTCACCAAAAACCCTATATGTAACAGAGTGGGAAATTGAGGCAATTTGAACCAAATCACATGGTTGGTTAGTGGTAGTATTAGAATTCGAATCCACAGGCTTCCCTCATGACTATTAGGCTCTGGTGTTTCTGGAATCGTGTCACTGCACTTCAGTGGGCCATCTGGAGCCATGCCAGTCCATAAACTCTCCACCGTTCCAATGAAAACTATAAAAACCTAACTTCAGGAGGAGTCTTTGAAGAGAAAATTCAAGAGAAGAAGAAAAGGAGGCTACTATAATTGAATGCGGTGCCTGAAATTACTCTATCCAACTGTATGAAAATAGTTATTATGGGGAGATGAAGACTATCTTTTTTTTCATCTCCCTAAAGAAAAAATTCTTATCAGACCATAAAGGAGGTGGTTCAGATGCAAAAAAGGAGGGATTTTCACCTTTATGCAAAAAGATGAAGTTGTAATGCCTTCATGGAAAGTTTAAAAACCAGCCAAGCTAGTCTCTCTCCAAGGAAAGGTTGTTCAGATGACGGATGTTGTTCTCTCCTAGTCGCTATGAAATCCTCCTACTGTGTCAATGTAATCACAAACTTATCTTAGTCTGTGTGCATTTGCTTACTTATGATGTCTCTTTTATACAATTAATTTATTTAATTTTTTGATGTGTAAGTTTATTATGTGAAAGTCATGTTTCCGGGTCTTTCATATAAATCGCTTACTCCTCAAAAGAAACCTGTGATACAGATGCTATTACTACCCTCTTTTTACAGATAAGGGAACAAAGCTATCACCTTGGATATTTTGTTAAATCATGCTTCACAAGGCTTGATATATCATAATACAGAGTTAATTTTCCCAAAGAGGTCCAAATATATATGTTGTTGACATAAGCCTAGAGTATACGATATCATGAAGGAGAGAAAACACGAAGCTTAGAGTCAGATGGTCTGTGTTTAACTCGTGCTCAGCAATTCACTAATTGTTTGCATCTATAAAGTTCAGTCCCCTCGTGTGTGAAATAAAGGCAGTAAACACTGTGGTTTGTTCTAGGCTGACCAACCATTCTAGTTGGCTTGACGCTAAAGAATTTCCCCGGGATGAGGGATTTTCAGCGCTGAAACCAGGAGAGTCTCAGGCAAAGCGAAGTAGCCTATTTGTCGGGAACATCAAAGTGGACAGCAAAAGTAAAAACAAGTATCTAACGTTTTGCTCACTGAACATTAAATTTCTTCCTATAAACACAGGTGTCGATGTATAGACTATCTTTTGGCTCCTGCCCAGCCTAACCAGTGCTGTGCACGGCCACCAAACACATTCACTTCGTAATGTTACCATTCTGATCTCTAACTGGAAGCAACACAAACTGGGAGCAGAGAGGTGTGGGAAAAGCCCCCGTACCCCCATACACACAGGCTACAAGGTGCTGGGTGCAGGGGAAGGACTCAGTTTCGTTCAGGCACACTTCGATTTCCTCTGGCTTCTCCCCAGGTCAGCACATCTGGAGTGGCAGGATTATTTTAAACGGTCGCTAAGACAGAGTTCTGAAGGCCATTGTTTAAGCCCTTGGGGCATTTTTCAAAACCTTTCCAAGCAACAACCACAGGTACGGGCAACAAGGTAGAAAGAATACATACGTCTTCCTTTGTGATGTGCGATCATGATAATGCATTCAAGCCCACTAATCTTTTTATCACATTTGACCAAGTGGGACAATATATTCTACAGTTCAATTTAGCTATTCATGTAAAAGTGATGCATTTTCATGAAGCTAAATCCATCATGTCCAACATCTGTGACCCTCCGGAGATCCATGCTGTCACTCACTCTGTCCTACCATGTGGCCCGTGTTCCCAGATGCTCCTGCTGTCAGAGCGGCCCTCAGCGCATTTTTCATCAACAAGGGTGAAGCACTAGAAAAATCCTCAGTGTCACTGACATCCTGGGTTCCTTCCCTCAATTTGCTAATTTCTGACCAGGGAAAAAGACTTGAGGGCAGCCCATGACGGAGAGAAAGGGAACATGGCAGTTTCATGATGCAATTTAATTAGACAAACACATATTGACCACCCACTATTTGGAAAGATTAGTGCTAACTGCTATCAAACGCTAAGAAATGAACAAAACGCAGTCCCTGTCATTATGAACAGAAGGGAGGACAGACACAAAATTGATTAAGCTACAAAGCAGGCTGTGAGGTGCAGCAGAGAAGAATATAACGTGATTCCGCATGGTGACATCATGTCTCTTTGCAGGGAGGGAGAGCCAGGACAGACCTCCCAAAGGAGACATGTGTCCCATGCCTGGAATGATCCACAGGGGTAAGGCCAAACATGGGGAAACAGCATTTTGTTGGCATATCAAATAGAAAGAGCGTCAGGTGCGTTCACATAATGAGACTTGCAGTTTGGAGCGTCTGGGTGACTCAGTCGGTTTAGCATCTGACTCTTGATTTCTGCTCAGGTCGTGATCCCCAGCCCCGAGTTGGGCTCCACGTCGAGCACGGAGCCTATTTAAGATTCTCTCTCCCCCTTCCTCTCTGCCCACCTCCCCCTCACTCACACATGCTCTGTCTCTAAAAATATTTTTTAGGGACGCCTGGGTGGCTCAGTCGGTTAAGCATCTGACTTTGGCTCAGGTCATGATCTTGCAGTCCGTGAGTTTGAGCCCCGTGTCGGGCTCTGTGCTGACAGCTCGGAGCCTGAAGCCTGCTTCACATTCTGTGTCTCCCTCTCTCTCTCTGTTCCTACCCTGCTCATGCCTCTGTCTCTTTCTCTCTCTCTCAAAAGTAAATAAACATTTAAAAAAAATTTTTTTTAATTTTTTTCAAGACTTGCAGGTTTGACAAAATTTGTCAACATCAGGGGTAGTAAAGTAGAAAATATGAAGGAACATTAGGCTGGAGTCCCACTAATTAGATGGGGGTCAGAACAACAGGTACCTCTGATACAGGGTTAGTGACTTTTAAACAGGAAGGACATGATCAATCTAGCTGTTAGAAGAGCAACCAGGAAAAGATGTGTTAGAAAGACAGGACACACCCGGAGCCAGGGAGCAGCCAGAGAGCATTCACTAGTATCAAGTGAGCAGTGATACAACCCTCCAAAGAGGTAAGGCCGGGATATGGAGCCGAGACAGAGAAACCTACCTGACATCCTACTAATACACACGCATGTGCAAGCATGTGTGCGTGTGCGTGTGCTTGGTAATATTGCTGGGGTAGAGGAGAAGAGCGGAGATAGATGTATTCCTTCCCTCCCCTAAGAAGAGAACGCTTTAGTTGGAACGTAAGAATTAAGAGTAATTCCAACTCAATATGATTACAGCTAAGATTGCAACAAACACATAGACAAGTGAGTTGGTGAATGTAAGATAGCAAGAAAAGGAAGAAAGCGTCAACCAAGAATATCCTAGAAAACCCCCAGGTGTGCTGCAAGACAGTAAAAGGTAGGAAACTTTAGTCGAGGTCAATGGCCAAATACTCTCTCTAAGTTATCCCCTTCCAACACCTCTCTTCCTCAATAATTTTTCAGGGATAGTATCTACATTGCTCGTTTCAGAGAATTTACAACCATCTAAAACTATGTTGTTTGTTTATTGGAGTGTGCACCCCATCATGTCTTGTTTGCCCCTGTCGAAATAGCTGCTTGATGAATGAATACACGAAGGTATCATTGCTGCACAACCTTGTTCCTCCCCTTCTCAGAATCCCTCCTTCTCTTCCTCTCCCCTCTCCATAACACACGCGCGTTCACGTACACACGCAGCACCCCTTGCCCAACAGCCTCTTTTCCTTGCAGGAGGAGTAAGATAGATGGCACAGGAGACAGAGCAGAGGCACCAGGCAATTGCCTCCCCAGGATATGAAGGCTTTGTTAATATGGGAGCAGCTGCTACTAATTCTTAAGTGAACTATTCTAGCTTTGTCCCCTGATATTACCCACAACTACTTCTCCTCCTCTGTGTAAGAAAAATACTTATGTATGTGAGGCCTAAGACAGCTTGGCCAACTACTGGGTTATTAACAGAGAGCCCCTCAGATCAGAATTACTCAGGGGAAACTGGATTCCAGATGGGTTGCAATACTCACCTTCTATGAGAAATGACAATGACGGCGGTCATTAGGATTACAAACAGCAACGATAAAACTGTTCCTCCGGCCACAAAGAGGGTATATTGGTTATCCATTTTACCTAGGAGGAAAAAAATATATACAGTAAGAATTAGAATTCAGCTCAAGTCAGAAAAAAAAGGAAGGTGGGAAAATGAGGAAAGGGTCCATTAATCAAATAGAGTAACAATTCAGAACAAAGAGTCCAATGAAAGAGCAGGATGAGATAAGAGGAAGAGACATTTTTATTTTAGAGTCTCCTAAATATTTCTGGCTCCTCACAGAGTTTTATTAGTTCCTTGTTTCAGCTGAGTTTAGCACCTTAAGAAGAACAAGAATAAATAAGGTGATGGGAATTAAGAGTTACAGACTTCGGGTTATAAAATAAGTAAGTCACAAGGATGAAAAGTACAGTGTATGGAATATAGTTAATAATATTTAATAACTCTCAATGGTGACAGGTGGTAATCAGACTTGTTATGATGACCATTTCCTAAGGTACATAATTATTGAATCACTCTACCATATACCTCAAACTCATGTAATATTGTATGTCAACCATACTTCAATTAAAAATAAAAACTAAAAGGGGCGCCTGGGTGGCACAGTCGGTTAAGCGTCCGACTTCAGCCAGGTCACGATCTCGCGGTCCGTGAGTTCGAGCCCCGCGTCGGGCTCTGGGCTGATGGCTCAGAGCCTGGAGCCTGTTTCCGATTCTGTGTCTCCCTCTCTCTCTGCCCCTCCCCTGTTCATGCTCTGTCTCTCTCTGTCCCAAAAATAAATAAACGTTGAAAAAAAAATTTAAAAAATAAATAAATAAATAAATAAATAAATAAAAACTAAAAAAAGAACGAGAATAGAAAGAGTGTGTGTTTGAGACAGATAATCACCTCAGTCTAATGCGCTCCCAGTCACATACACAAAATCTTCTGTAGAAAAAGAAAGCTATCAAAAGAGTACATAAATGACGATACTTCTTAAGACTGATATATTAAGTACATTCACACGACAGTGTCATTTTATAAGCAGAATTTAAGAAATAATTTCATTCAGTTGGAGTTAATGATAGGAAGTACTCTGAAAAACTATGTTACTCCAGCTCAGTGTTAAGCACAGACAACATGGTCCAGGAACCTGCAGCTCTCTTCCTGGCTCTGCTACTCCTCAGCTGTGTGACCTCCAGCCAATTCCTTAACCTTCTGTGTTTGCCTTTCCTCGTTTGTCAAGCCATGACAATGACAACAGTCCTAATCACATCCCAGAACTGTGGTGAGACTCTAATGAGGTCGTATTCAACTAAGCAATAAACCACTAGAGAAACGTCACTCTGGAGCAAGATCTCCAATGAGGTCAGAGAGCCTCTTATCTTTAAAATGTCCTCCTGCCCGTGATACATCTCACCCACTGCCTCCCACAGAGCTCCTTCCCAGGAGAAGAAACCCCATCAATATCTGCTGCTGCCCAGAATGGGAGTGAATCAGAACCCGGGAGCTGTCCTCACCGCCACGTCTCTTTGGGACGGCGCACCTGCCGGTCTCCCTTCTTGCAGGAAGGGGCCAGCTCTGGCAAACAAACAGCACGACTTCCCTCCAACCTTGAAATTAAAGCCCGGTGCTCGACCCGAGACTCTGTGCCATCGGCCATCCTATGCCAACCTGCAAATCATGCTTTTCATTAGAGTCTTCCTGATCTTTCCCTCAGATTATTTCTTCCTTCCTGACCCACTATGTAGCTGCAATTTTTTCACGATAGGGGCTCAGAGTCCACATCCACACATTCTTTTGTAAGCTTTCCTGCAAAGAGAAACCAAGTCAACTCATAAATATTATTTTCATTTTTCAAACTTGTTGAAACCATAAGGTGAATAAAAGTAGCAAACTGTGTGAACCTTACAGACTTTGCACATACATCCAAAGAATGGCTTTTGTCCAACTATGATGGAAAGAGGAAAAGCTAAATTTATTCAGAACAAAAATACATTGAACCGCCCTCACGAAAGGAACAATGACATGTTCTCCCCGTCGAATAAATTTTTAAGAGCTTTTTCAGTTCTTGGTACATTATAAAAACCAAATGAACAAAATACCTGAAATTATTTTGCATTGTAACACAGGACTATAAAGGGATTACACCTGCTGTACCGACATAATTAACACAGGTGCTAAGGTTAAATCAAATAGGCAATCACGGTGAGAAAACGAAAGTTATGATTAAAATATTCACGGACAGGATTGTGGGAAAACTGTTTAACCACTTTGACAATGCTATTTAGGGGCGCCTGGGTGGCTCAGTCCGACTTCAGCTCAGGTCATGACCTTGCATTTCGTGACTTCGAGCCCCGCATCGGGCTCTGCGCTGACAGCTCAGAGCCTGCTTTGGATTCTGTGTCTCCCTCTCTCTCTTCTCCTCTCATGCTTGCTCTCTGTCTCTCACTCTCTCTCTTTCAAAAATAAATAAACATTAAAAAATAAAAAATCTTTAATAAAAAAAGAAAATGCTATTTAAGTAAAAAACAAAAGTTACAGTAAAAAAAAAATTGGGGTTGACTACAATTCCAAATCTTTTCGCATAAACATTAGATGAAAATATAAGTAAATATTATTTAATCTCAGGAATGAGAAATGGCATTTAGATTTATAAAAATAAATAAATATATAGGATTGACCAGGCCAAGTGAAAAATATCTGTATGTTAAAATGACCACAAACAACATGTAAAGGCACACAAAAAGTATCTTTAACACATCCTGGCATTAAGAAAAAGCTATAAGGGTGCCTGGGTGACTCACTTGGCTGAGCCCCCGACTTCAGCTCAGGTCATGATCTCCCAGTTCTTGGGTTCAAGACCCACGTTGGGCTCTGTGCTGACAGCACGGAGCCTGGAGCCTGCTTCAGATTCTGTGTCTCCCTCTCTCTCTGCCCCTAAGCCACTCACATTCTGTCTCTGTCTCTCTCAAAAATAAATAAACATTAAAAAAAATGGAAAAGTTATAGAAGACAATATGAAAGATACAAATAACTAAGAAAAAGCACTAACAGAACAAGTTTGTGTAAGAGGAAAACTGTGGTCAGATAGAGCATCTCAAGCTCTATTTGGAGGACGGGGAACTACCACAACCTGCATCCAGAAGGAATTCGGTCTGCATGTGTCACGCCCTTTCACTAGGTGCTTACACATCTGATTAATTACTGTATTCTAAAGAAATGCTCTGAAATGTGAACAAAGCGTTCTGTAAAACATTTACAACTGCCAAAAGAAAATCCTCATTTCCCCCAAGTAGACAGAGAGCCAGACCACACAACTGCAGTCCTCAAACTCCCTCTGCATGGGCATCATTTGGGGGCTTGCTAACCCGCAGATGACTGGGTGTCCCCCCTCCAAAACTCTGCCCCAGTGGGTCTGGGTGGGTCCTCGCAGGCGCAGCTCTCCTGTGATGCCCGTGTTTCTGATCTGGAGCCCACCCTGTAAAGCTCGGCTATAGACATTCGGATGATGTGTGTGAGAAATTTGAATGAAATGGAAAACTGCTGACTAGGGGTATAAAGTTAAGTAAAATTTCAAAACCATAATTCACAATGATGCATGTTAAACTCTCTCGGCCAAGTGTAGGACTTAGGGGGAAAAGGTCTGCAAGGTTACAAATGCCAAAATTTTAGGGGTGCCTGGGTGGCTCAGTCAGTTAAGCGTCCAACTTCAGCTCAGGTCACGATCTCGCGGTCCGTGAGTTCAAGCCCCGCGTCGGGCTCCTGGCTGATGGCTCAGAGCCTGGAGCCTGCTTCTGATTCTGTGTCTCTCTCTCTCTCTCTCTCTCTCTGCCCCTCCCCCGTTCATGCTCTGTCTCTCTCTGTCTCAAAAATAAATTAAAAACGTTAAAAAAAATTTTTTAAGTGATGATCTCCAGGGAGTGGCATTAAAAGCAATTATTTCCTAAAGACAGATATCATATGTTTTCATTCATATGTGGATCTTGAGAAACTTAACAGAAGACCATGGGGGAAGGGAAGGGGAAAAAAATATAGTTACAAACAGAGAGGGAGGGAGGCAAACCATAAGAGACACTTAAATACACAGGACAAACTGAGGGTTGATGAGGGGGTGGGGGAAAAGGGGAAATGGGTGATGGGCATTGAGGAGGGCACTTGTTGGGATGAGCACTGGGTGTTGTACATAAGCGATGAACCATGGGAACCTACCCCCAAAACCAAGAGCACACTATACACACTGTATGTTAGCCAACTTGATGATAGCTTATATTTAAAAAAAAGCAATTATTTCTTTAGGCTTTTTGGCATTTTCCAAACTTTCTAAGTGATGTATTGCTTTTATTAAACGGAAAAAAAATAGTAGAAAAATGTAAATGTCTGCATGCTGAAAACAAAATCATCAGACAAATTTTAGTGATGATATTATTTTTAACCTTTTTTTTAAGTTTATTTATTTACTTTGAGAGAGAGAGAGTGCTGGGAAGGGGCAGAGAGAGAGAGGGAGAGAGAATCCCAACCAGGCCCTCTGCTGTCAGCATAGAGTTCGACACAGGGCTTGAACTCACAGTGAGATCATGACCTGAGCTGAAACCAAGAGTCTGACGCTTAACCAACTGAGCCACCCAGGCACCCCACTGGTGATATTTAAAGTACAAGATGTGGAGAACTTTTTTTGTAGGAGTATATTCAGAATCCTTAGAATTAAGATGGCATTCCTTATTAAACTCCAATTAAATGAATTAAGTAGAAACCATTGAAAGGTACTAGTCATGTGTTTCACACCATTCAATTATAAATCTAAACTTCAAATGCATCCTTTAATGTGAAATATGTTACCTCCTTTTAACCTCTTCTAGTAGTGCTTGACGTGTTGGAGTCAGATCTGTTTACTCCATCTTTTCACACACAGTATCTCAAGCCATAGTATACACTTGGCATGACAGATGAAATGGTGTGTAAAAAGGGATTTGGTTCCTAAAGGGAAAACATCAACGAGAACAAAACTGTATCTCTACTCACAGCACTGCTGACACTAATTTTCCCTGAGTTGGCACAGACCCCACAGACCCTCACTGCCCCCCACTTCCTGCTTCAGTCT